TGCACCCAAGTACTGCACTTTGCACTCGTTTGTTGACTGTGAGGGCCACTCCATTTCTTCTAAGGGATTCTTGCCCATAGTAGTAGATATAATGGTCCTCTGAATTAAATTTGCCCATTCCAGTCCATTTTAGTGCATTGATTCCTAAAGTGTTGATGTTCACTCTTGCCATCTCCTGCTTGACCACTTCCAATTTACCTTGATTCATGGACCTAACATTCCAGTTTTCTATGCAATATTATTCTTTTCAGTATCAGAATTTACTTCCATCACCAGTCACATCCACGATTGGGCATTGTTTTCGCTTTGGCTCAGCGTCTTCATTCTTTCTGGAGCTATTTTTTCACTCTTCTCCAGTAGCATATTGGGCACTTACCGACCTGGGGAGTTCATCTTTCAGGGTCGTATCTTTTTTCTTTTTTTTTCTTTCTTTTTTTCTTTCTTTCTTTCTTTTTTTTTTTTTTTTACTGTTCATGGGATTCTTAAGGCAAGAATACTGAAGTGGCTTGCCATTCCCTTCTACAGTGAACCACGTTTTGTCAGAACTCTCCACCATGACCCATCCATCATATGTGGCCCTATATGGCATGCTCATAGTCTAACTGAGTTAGATAGGGTTGTGATACAAGTGATCAGTTTGGTTAATTTTCTGTAATTTTGGTTTTAATTCTGTCTGCCCTCTGATGGATGAGGATAAGAGATTTGTGGAAGCTTCCTGATTGGAGAGATTGGCTATGAGGGAATCTGGGTCTTGCTCTGACATGCTTAGTAAATCCGTAATCTAATTTTCTCATGATGGGTACAGCTGTGTTCCCTCCATGTAGTTGGCTTGAGACCAAGCTATGGTAGGGGTAATGGAACCTCCTTCCAAATGGTTTATGCCAGGACTGCTGTATTCAGTGTCCCTGATCCCACAATAGCCACGTTGACCCATGCCTCCCCTGGGGACTCTTGGACACTCACAGGCAAGTCTGCCTCAGTCTTCTGTGAGGGTCACTGCCCCTTTCTCCTGGTTCCTAGTGTGCACAAGGTTTTGTTTTTGCCCTCTAAGAGTCTCTTTCACCAGTCCCATGGAAGTTCTGTAATCAAATCCCACTGGCCTTCAAGGGCAAATTCCCTGAGGGTTCTCAGTCCCTTTGCTGGATCCCCAGGTTGGGAAATCTGCTGTGGGCCTTAGAACTTTCATAAGAGTGGGAGGACTTCTCTGGTATAATTGATCTTCAGTTTGTGGGTTGTCTACTCGGTGGCTCTATGGTGGGGCTCACACATTGTGCTTCCCCAGTCTCCTGAAGCCACAGCCCCTGTCCCCACAGCAGGCCACTGCTGACCCATGCATCTGCAGGAACACTCAAACACTCAAAGGCAGGTCTGGCCCAGACCTATAACCATGTTTTTAAAATGTGACCAGTTTGCTGTTGGCACTAACTTGAATGCAATAATCTCATTTTGAGGGGTTATCTTCCTCTGTACCACTCTTTCTTAAGGACTGTTAAGGGTTAATGTTATCTCCAAGGTGAAAACAGCCTTGGGAGGAGCAGCCTACACCTGGTGTATAAAGGCAAAGTCTACAGGAAGAAGAGTTTCAGGGTGAAGAGTGTCAAGAAAGGTTTGTAGTTTGAGTTATCGATCTCAAGGAGAGAAAAAGAAAAGTGAATCCTCATCATTTGATCCTGGTATTCAGAGCCAGAGGCAGGGACCTTGGGAAAGTGAAGAAGAGAAAAAGAAAGAAAAATGTCCAAATAAAATAGGTATGTATGGGGGCAAGAGGAGGGAGAAACTCTGAGAAAATGGGGTTGGGTGTATGATCATGTTGATTTGCTATTGTTGTTTAGTCTCTAAGTCGTGTCCAACTCTTTTGCAACCCCATGGATTCTAGCCCACCAGGCCTCCTCTGTTCATGTGATTTCCCAGGTGAGAATACTGGAGTGGGTTGCCATTTCCTTCTCCAGGGAAATCTTTCTGACTCAAGGATCAAATCTACCTCTCCTTCATTAGCAGGTGGACTCTTTATTACTGAGACACCAGGGAAGCCCAATCACATGGATACTGGCCTCAAACACAAAAATTTGCTATTCCTAGTGAAAAATGGAATCAGCTCAGTTAAGTCAGTCGTGCCTGACTCTTTGCAACCCCATAGACTGCAGCACGCCAGGCCTCCCTGTCCATCACCAACTCCTGGAGTTTATTCAAACTCATGTCCACTGAGTGAGTGATGCCATCCAACCATCTCATCCTCTGTCGTCCCCTTCTCCTCCTGCCTTCAATATTTTCCAGCATCAGGGTCTTTTCCAATGAGTCAGTTCTTTGTATCAGGTGGCCAAAGTATTGGAGTTTCAGTTTCAGCATCAGTCCTTCCAATGAATAATCAGGACTGATTTCCTTTAGGATGGATTGGTTTGATCGTGCTGTCCAAGGGACTCTCAAGAGTCCTCTCCAATACCACAGTTCAGAAGCATAAATTCTTTGGCTCTCAACTTTTTTCATAGTCTAATTCTCACATCCATACCTGACTACTAGAAAAACCATAGCATTGACTAGATGGACCTTCGTTGACAAAGTAATGTCTCTGCTTTTTAATATGCTGTCTTAGTTGGCCATGACTTTTCTTCCAAGGAGCAAGTGTCTTTTAATTTCGTGGCTGCAATCACCATATGTAGTGATTTTGGAGCCCCCCAAAATAAAGTATGCCACTGTTTCCATTGCTTCCCCATCTATTTGCCATGAAGTCATGGGACCAGATGCCATGATGTTAGTTTTCTGATTGTTGAGATTTAAGCCAAGTTTTTCACTCTCCTCTTTCACTTTCATCAAGAGGCTCTTTAATTCTTCACTTTCTGCCATAAGGGTGGTGTCATCTGCATATCTGAGGTTATTGATATTTCTCCCAGCAATCTTGATTTCAGCTTGTGCTTCTTCTAGCCTAGCGTTTCTCATGATGTACTCTGCATATTAGTTAAATAAGCTGGGTGACAATATACAGCTTTGACATACTCCTTTGCCGATTTGGAACCAGTCTGTCGTTCCATGCACGGATCTAACTGTTGCTTCCTGACCTACATACAGATTTCTCAAGAGGCAGGTCAGGTGGTCTGGTATCCCCTTCTCTTTCAAAATTTTCCACAGTTTATTGTGATCCATACAGTCAAATGTTTTGGAATAGTCAGTATGCAAAAATAGATGTTTTTCTGGAACTCTCTTGCTTTTTTGATGATCCAGAGGATGTTGGCAATTTGATCTCTGGTTCCTCTGCCATTTCTAACACCAGCTTGAACATCTGGAAGTTCATGGTTCATGCATTGCTGAAGCCTGACTTGGAGAATTTTGAGCGTTACTTTATTAGAGTGAGATGAGTGCAATTGTGTGGTAGTCTGAGCATTCTTTGCCATTGCCTTTCTTAGGGATTGGAATGAAAACTGACCTTTTCCAGTCCTGTGTCCACTGCTGAGTTTTCCAAATCTGCTGGCATATTGAGTGCAGCACTTTCACAGCATCATCTTTCAGGATTTGAAATAGCTCAACTGGAATCCCATCACCTCCACTAGCTTTGTTTGTAGTGATGCTTCCTAAGGTCCACTTGACTTTGCATTCCAGGATGTCTGGCTCTAGGGGAGTGATCCCACCGTCGTGATTATCTGGGTCGTGAAGATCTTTTTTGTTTAGTTCTGTGTATTCTTGCCACCTCTTCTTAATATCTGCTGCATCTGTTAGGTCCATATTATATCTGTCCTTTGTTGTGCCCATCATTGCATGAAATGTTCCCTTGGTATCTCTAATTTTCTTGAAGAGATCTCTAGTCTTTCCCATTGTATTGTTTTCCTCTATTTCTTTGCACTGATCACTAAGGTAGGCTTTCTTTTCTTTGAATTGATCACTGAGGAAGGACATATGGAATAGTTTCTGCCATATCAATAAACAAAGGATATCACAGTCATCAGCAATTGCAGCCACCATGGAAGGTGAGCTAGTGAGCCCTGAGGGTATTCAGGATGGAAATAGTGCCTGTCATCTAGTAGCCATCAAACTGTAGTCATTCCCTATGGTGAGTCCTGAGGAAGCTCAGGATGTGAAAACAGACTACTGTCCCCAGATAGTTGAGGGGCATATCAAGTGAATAATTTCAGTAAGCCTAGTCTCTCACATTTTTCTTTACATAGAAAAGCACTAAATTTGTCAACTTGGGATATCTGGTTTTCTTTCAGTTACAAAACATTTTTGACATTCAGACTACCTACACTTTGTTGCAAAACTTCTATATAATCTGTCCCCCAACTCCCTGCCTCCTCTGAGCAGTTCTCTTGAGCTGCTGTCTCCCCGACTTGAAGTCCTAAAAATTCTCACCAAATAAAGCATAACTCTCAACTTCTATGTTGTGAATGGTTTCTAAGGAGATTACAAATAAATATGTATGCACATGTATTTGTGTGCTATGTTCTGACTAGCTAGGTGGTGAGGTGCTCTTTAAGAAGAGTGAAGACCAGAGTTACTCAAAGGTGCTCCCTTAAAAAGAGTGAAGACCCAAGGTTATTCCGACCTCCCACCTGGATCTGAGCCAGACCCTGGAGCAAGATTAGGGAGGAGATCCTGGAAGAATGCTGCAGGTAGATTTTTCCCAGTGGAAACGGTGGCTGGAGAGGAAGCCCCAGACTCCTCCAGCCAGTGCCCTTCATTCTCAGACCTACCGCACTGGGAGCCAGACTGCCCAACCCAGCTTGCCTCAGCTGCAGTGCCGCCCTCCGCCGCACAGAGGCAGCATGACCTACAGCGCGGTGGCAGCCGCGATCCCCACGCCCCTCTTGGCGGCGGCGGGCGGAGGCCGTGCGGCGGAGGCCGGCCCGTGGAGCCCTTCCTGATTGGCCGCGGCGCGGCAGCTGCCATGTTGGCCGAAGTGGCGCTCTCTGCCGGGGGCAACTGGCTCTGGCTCCGGCTGCCAGGTTGGTACGCACAGGGTCTTCCTTCTTCCCCTCGCCCGCGGTTGGCGCTGAGAGGCGGCGTCCGGCGGGATGGAGAAAAGTAGGATGAACCTGCCCAAGCGGCCGGAGACGCTGTGCTTTGACAAGGACGAGTTCATGAAGGTGCTCCCGGGGGACTGCGCGCTCCGAGCCGAAGCGGATGGCCTGTCTTCCTTTCCCTCCGGGGCCTCCTCCAGGTGCTGGCCGCGCACGCCCCGGATCAGCCCCCGGCGGGACCTCGCTGCCTTCGCAGTGAGTCTTTTGGCCTCAGGTGGGGTTGGGGAAGCCTGCTGTGAGAAGGCACTTCTGTGAAATGGTGCGTAGTGAGGAAAAGGCCTGAAGTTGTGGGCAAGTGGTTTTGAGCTAGGTGTAATAGCTCCGGTTATTACCCGAGCCCGTTCCCATGCAGTGCAGTCGGAATTGCCAGATCCTGGGCAGACAGAAGTTTGTCGATCGCCGCCTTAAACCTAGAAGCTCAGTATGAATGTATTGACCAAATCTCTGGACCCACGTCTCTACCTAGGGATTAGGTGGGTGGAAAAGGCACTCAATCGGAAGTTTTTCCTTTAACGTTCGCCTAAAGTTTCTGAATGGGATATTTAAAAGATTAGAATCTTATTACTGATTTTGTTGCAGTACAACAAAGCAAACCATTTTGCTTCTCTAAAGTTAGTCTACTTTTTATAAGGTGAACTTGAGGTTGGTCTGAAGGTAAATGTAGGCCGTCACCTTACATGAAGAGTTGAAATATGATGGATATTAAAGGTTTATCCGGCACAGCCTTGGAAGTGTCCAAGATTTGAATCAGAGCTGGGAGGAACTTTGCATATTCTTTTGGGGGTGAAACTGGAACTGTATTCTTTTGGGTCTCTGGAACTGTACATACACCATCAAGAAATACAGTTATGCTTTATTTATAAGGTTTGGGGGGTTTGATACCACTTAGTGGCTGCTTTCAGTGTTAAAAAGTTAAATGTTTTTGCTCAGTAGACACTTAAATTTTTGAGCAACTGAATTTAAATCTTACTTTTTTTGTTTTTTTCTTGATGACTTCAAGTCTTAGTATGTTTTTTGCTTTTTAGCTTCATTAGTTTATCCTTTTGATGCTTGCATTCAGTTCACAGTCTCCAGTTTTAAACAGTATTTACATCTGTTCTTTTTTATAGCTGAGTAGTGTGTACCACATGGACTTGAGCTTGGGCAAACTTGGGGAGATGGTGAGGGCCGGGGAAGCCGGGTGTGCTGCAGTCCACGGGGTCGCAAAGAGTCAGACGTGACTTAGGGACTGAACAACACCACATCTTCTTTATCCATTCCTGTGAACTTTTAGATTGTTTCCATGTCTTGGCCATTGCGAATAGTGCTGCAGTGAATGCTAGGGTGCGTGTATCTTCTCAAATGATGCTTTTCTTCAGATACATGCCCAGGAGTGGGGTTGCTGAATGATATGGTAGTTCTATATTTAGTTTTTTGTTATTGTTGTTGTTTTCCATTTATTTTTATTAGTTGGAGGCTAATTACTTTACAGTATTGTAGTGGTTTTTGCCATACATTGACATGAATCAGCCATGGATTTACATGTATTCCCCATCCTGATCCCCCCTCCTACATCCCTCCTTATATTTAGTTTTTAAAGGAACTTCCATATTGTTCATCAAAAAGAGCAAAATAATGCCATTTGCAGCTACATGAATGGACCTGGAGAGTATCATACTAAGTGAAGTAAGTCAGACAGAGAAAGACAAATATATCATTTACATGTGGACTCTAATAAAAATGATACATGCATGTGTGTATGCTCAGTCTTAAGCAACTCTTTGAAACCTTATGGACTGTAGCCTGCCAGGCTCCTCTGACCATGGGCTTCTCCAGGAAAGAATCCTGGAGTAGTTTGCCATTTCCTTATCCAGGGGATATTCTTAACCCAGGGGTGAAACACATCTCCCATGTTTCTTTGCATTGGCGGGTAGGTTGTTTGCCACAGAGCCACCTAGGAAGCCTGAAAAGTCATAACAGATGAACTTATTTACAAAACATACTCACAGATCTCAAAATTAAACATATGGTTCAGTTGCTTAGCCATGTCTACTCTTTGCAACCCCGTGGACTGCAGCACACCAGGCCTCCCTGTCCCATCGCCAACTCCCAGAATTTACTCAAACTCATGTCCATTGAGTTCGTGATGCCATCCAACCATCTCATCCTTTGTCGTCCCCTTCTCCTCCTGCCGGTACTAGCCGGCAATGTGAACAGGTCTAGACCGCAGCAACACGGAAGCCTGAGAAAAAGGAGCTGAAAGTAAAGAATGGGGTCGAGAGGACTGAAATGCTCTTTAGGCAAGTCAGCGGTTTTATTGAGTAAAGCAGACCTTTATACTAGTACAAGCAGAAAACATAGTTCATAAAAAATGCCATCTGGTGTTTGTTACATCAATACAATTCTTTGTCTTAAGTGATTGCAGAAGCTTACATCCTGTTTTTGGCATTCCAAGATAAACTACTAAGTGAAGGTCACTACTGTGTTTTTCTCAAGGAAGAACAAAGGAGAGCCGGCAAATGTTTTACTACTTTATCATGGGATGGCGGGACAGGGAATGGCCTCTTTCAAGGCTTTCCCAGGGCCTTTTTGGGCCTTGAGCAGGCTGGCTCCCGACATCCTCCCGCCTCCAATCTTTCCCAGCATCAGGGCATTTTCCAATGAGTTAGTTCTTTGCATCAGGTGGTCAAAATATTGGAGTTTCAGTTTCAGCATCAGTCCTTCCAGTGAATATTCAGGACCAGTCTCCTTTAGGATGGACTAGTTGGATCTCCTTGCAGTCCAGGGGACTCTCTAGAGTCTTCTCCAACACCACAGTTCAAAGGCACCAATTCTTTGGTGCTCAGCTTTACTTATGGTCCAGCTCTCACGTCCGTACATGACTACTGGAGAAACCATAGCCTTGACTAGCCGGACCTGTATGGTTACCGAAGGGGAGGCATGGGGAGAGGTGATAAGTTAGGAGACTGGGATTAACATAGACACACTGCCATATGTAGAACAGATCAGCAGAGGTTCACTGTGCAGCGCAGGGAGCTCTGCCCAGCACTTCAGTGGCCCACGTGGGAGAGGAGCCCAGAGCAGAGCGGGCCCACGCGTGCACACAGACGAGCTGCTCTGCAGCACGCCTGGGACTGGCGCAGCAGTGTATCTCAGCTGTAGCAAAAAAGGTAAGTGATGCAGTTTAAGAAAAAGGCAGTTACATCTGGATCTTCTCCAGTGTGGCCATGGCATTTTTATCATGCAGGCCATCTAGACCGAGGAATATTGTACAATGATGTCTCCACTAAACCTCTGTGATAAAGGGTGTCATTTGAAAGGGAGTACCACGTGAGCTTGCCGATCCAGAAACGCTTTGTTCCATCCGCTGGCTGAGAACTGTCCTGGAGCAAGGGTAGGAAGAGAGCATGATGAGGTGAGGTGTGCTGAAAGAAGCCAAGGCACAAGCAGAGATGAGGGGCTTTGTTCTGTTCAAGAATCTCAGAATACAGAGAGCTTAGCCTGACCAACTTTGCCTTCTTCAAGGTTTCCTTCAGGCTCAACACCAGCATTCTTTCTGACTTGCTGGCCCCACCGTGTTTCTTGCTCTGAACTGATAGAAAGCCTTTGGGAAGAGAGGCTTCAGAAAGTAGAAACCTCAAAATAAGTTCTAAAGTAGAACTTGATGAAGGGGAGAGCAAACTGGGGAGGTGGCTGAAATGGGAGCAGTTTCATATTCTTTCATGCCTCCTAAGCCTCTGAATGTGTTCTGTAATTTGTAGTGCTAATAAATGTGACCACTTCACATGTAAAAGCAAAATGCATAGGACAGCCACCCTGTGTTAAATGTTGATTTTCTAAGTGAGACTTGGAGATAAAGGTTACTTGCAATTTATGTTTCCTTCAGAGAGACATTTTAAAAGTTTAGTCACATGGCAGAAATGATAGGTAGAGAGTTTGCCTTTGGGGATATATTTCTTAAGTCTGTCTGATTCGATGCATATTGTAACTTGTGCCTGTGAGAAAGTTAGAGAATGTCTGATTTGCATTAGGAGAGTGAAGGTTACTCAAAAAATCCAGTCATTGGCAAATTTGTTCCCAGTCAAAAGAAACTGTGTCACACACGTGGTGAGGCCCTATTAGGACAATGGTGGCAGTCATTCATTTAATAAACAGGCACTCATTGATCACCTTGGAGGAGGAAATGGCAACCCACTCCAGTATTCTTGCTTGCAGAATCCCGTGTACTGAGAAGCCTGGTGGGCTACAGTCCATGGGGTTGCAGAGAGTTGGACATGACTTGAGTGTCTATCACTTCACTTCACTGATCACCTGCTTTGTGTCCACCAGCAGTCTAGACTGGATAGTACAAGGTAGATAAGATTTAGGCTTTTGAGTATGGTTACAGAAAGGCCACAGTGTGTACTGAGAAACTGGACTTAGTCCAGAGAGGCTGGGAGGATGACTAGAATTGAGACTGGAAAAGTAGAAAGACAGCTGGGTGGGACTGCATGTTGTTTTCGTGTACTGCACTGAGGGGTTTGCGCTTGATGAGTTACAGTCAGGTGGAAAGCAGGAAATGACGTAGTCATGTCTGTTGCATTGAACACGTGTTAGAGGATGCTGTACCACTGGTTACTTCAAGCTAATATAGGGTTCTGTTTCAAGGGGAAATTATGTTGCATTTGAACTGATGAGCTAATATTTTGATTTGGGCCATTTTTGCACATGTATTTCAGTCCTAACTCAATGTCGTAGTGGTATCTCAGACTTTTAGGAAGTTATTTAATAAATGCTTAAGAAACAACCAACTACCTTTCTGAACATAGAGAAAAAATGCTTCAATGGTCCTTGTAAGATCTAATGAGAAATACAGAGCAGAGGACAGATTTGTGAAGGATGTAGATGATCAGAAGACAAGAGTAGCAGATGGTAGTAGAGGTACCATCACTTGGGGACCTCTGTCACTTGGTAGTAGAGGTAGTGATGACATCATATCATTAGTTTTGTCAGCTTAAAAAATATAAAAGTCCTTAGCGAGGGTTGATGGTCAACTAATACATGAAATAGGACATGAGATACTAGTAGTATGGGAGAGAAGAGGCTGCTAACAAAGATAACTTAGACCAATTCACCTAGGTGTGCTGTTGAAATCTGTCCTTCTATCTCAGCATATGACTTCTATTTTATAGAACAAATAGTGCCATCAGATGGGAACTTCTTCATCTTGACTGATG